AAATGTAAAGTAATCTATTGTGGATCAGTTATGTAAGCGTAAAAATTATTTCATTTAAGTATTCGATAGTTTAATGTAGAGAATCATTTTATTATCCATTATTTTGTAGTTCAAATAAATTTGTTCTAAATTTCGTTAAAACAATAAGCAGTTTGAATCTCATACATAAAATACAAAAAACGAAAAAATATTTGACGATTGTGAATCTAAATGAGAACTGTAAGATTGAACTAAAATTCAGCAAGATTTGTCTTATGGAAGAATACCTGATGTTTGTCACAAGCAACAGAAGAAATACTATCTTCTCTCATTTGGATTCTCATCGACAATCATTGTAATATGCAAAATAGGAAAATTAGTAAAACAAATGTAGAATTGTAATTTAAACTCTGAAATCAATGAATTGTTAAATTTCATAAAGTGACAGTAAACAATTTTCAATTAAAGTAATCTAATTTTTGCATTCTATTTGAACAAATTAGCTTTTGATTTAGTAGAGTGTTGGGAAAGTGATAGACAAAGAGGAAATGCAATAAATTGAAGATATAATATTTGCAAATATGTTTTAAAAACCGGTAGGTGCTATTTATGAGTTCCAATGTCGACAATTGAGAAGAAAATAAAGCATAATGAAAATTAATAATAGTTTTTCAAAGAATACAACATATTCACAACATCATTTTACGATTTCAGCTTTACCTATCCTGTAGGAGTATTACAAATGTTTATATATCCGAAATGGAACATTTAGTTTGGAGTATATAGGTTTGTAAATAATTGAAATGTGCATGAAAGTTTAAATAGAATGGAATGGTATATTTTAACTTCAAATGCAATTTAAACACCAGTTCTTACAACTTTAGTCATGCAAATCAAAACCATTAGGAAATAGAAAAATACATATAGAAAAGATAAATACATTAAAAAATAATGTGACCACTGGAAAATAACGAAAGTGAACCCACTACATAAACAAGTAGGAAAATACTTCTATCAATGGCTCCGGTGAAAATTAAAAGGGGGGAAACAGATAAAGTATAGAAAAAAATAAATATTACCTTGCTTCAGAGGGTCTTGAGAATAGAAGATTAAGATTTCTTGATTGTTGGCAAAATGATGAAGCAGATTACCTACCACCTAACCATAGTCAACATGTAAGCATCATCATTGACATATTTGAGCTATAACACTTTACAGAGAAACTACTCTCGTGAAAGCTATCATCCCAAAAGTTGTAACACATCAAGCTACTGCGCTAACATATCTCTTGGAATAAATGCAACTTTATGTCCCATCTTTATATGGAGAAAAATGAATGTTAACTGCATATTGGCTAAATTAACTATGTAGATGAAATCATTGATCATAAGCAAGCATAGAGAAGGAAGAACTCAAAAATTTGAAAAGAATTAATTTACTGAATGAATGAATGAATGTCATTAATCTTATTGTTACCATAAAACACAAAACTATAATTCCATACGATAGCACTGCTTCAGGATTTCCCTATTATGCCAGTTGTGATTTCATATCTAACACAACTTGACACCTAGAGAACTGACTCAGACATTGATGCTTAACTTAATTGAAGATTTACCTCATGATGTTTTCGAGAAGCTTGGCATACAAGCCAAAGACCATCGGATTTCATGACAACATCACAAATCTACAGACCATTTGATCATGTTCATTGTACGTACATTTACAAATAGGATTAACTGTCTAAACTACAAGTCGATCGAAAATATGATTAGAAATTCTATTTCAATGATTTTGTAGTGCGTGTACAGATAAATTCATTCTAAAGATCAAAATTCTCACAAGCAAAGTAATCCTGATGTAGAATAACTCAGTAAACATAATAAGAAGAGAAGAGAGAAGAGAGGAGAAGAAGAAGGCAGAGAGGGAAGAGGAGAACACAGAGACGGGGAAGAGGGGGGAGATGGCTGCAAAACCAATTCTTTATTTTATCAAATTCATCCATCCCAAATAACAATGTAAGATAGGTTTAAATACTGGAAAAATAATGTAAACCTAGGGCCAAGCCCATACACAAGTCCATAAAATTAAATAACCTAACTTCCAACTAAAATAATTAAAATTGCTAAACTTAATTAAAATTGGATGTCCTCATCAATTCCCCCGGGGTGGGAGAGAAAACTCGACCCTGTCGAGTGGCTATAACACCATAGGCATCCGTCAATCTCCCAACCATAAGCTGAGTGGCTGGGCAAGTTTCTTCCTGCGTCTGTAGAAATGCGTCAGTGGCGGTCTGAACCTGGTGTCCAAGCTTAGCCAAACATGATCTCAACCACTTTTTAACGAAAAGTTCATGAAAGATTGATAGGGTTTCATGAAGGAGGACAAATTGAAAGGAAGAAACATTTAAGTAAAAAATCGTAAATAGCTCATTTTTCAAAAAACCATGTTAGTAGAGGTGTTGTAATTTTTTCTTTCCCTTTCAAACAGTGTAGCAAACAAGCATGATTTTAGTTTTAAAGAACATGAACAGTAAAAAGTTACAAAATAAAAACACAGTTAAACAAATGTACATATAAATGTTGTATATGCAGGCATCTAGCAGCTCCAACCCCTTTTCTTTAGTAAAATCACATCATATAGGTTTCAACCGAAAAAACCCTAACATAAAACCAGAGAAGCTAAAGATGAGAAGATGTTAAGAGCTGTACTGGCAAGAGAAAGAGGGCCAGTCGTAGAGCACTGGTACCAGCTACTTCTAATGAATATACCTTTACACTTATTATAGCTTGCATTATTCTTCTACTTATGACTATATTCAAAATTCAATTCTGTATGTTTTAATTCATCTCCTTCCATCTTCTATAACACGAAACCTAAATGATTTATTTATTTTTTTCCCCCACTTTTCATCAATATGGGAGATATTAATGGTAAAGAGTTCCAACGTAAGTAATGAACCTCTTAACTTTCTCATCCACCATGCAAAAGCTTTTTATGTGTTATTCTTCAGCATTTCTGTTATATTTATCTCCTACAAGTTGTGACATTTTTGTTCTTGTAAAATAGATTGTGTCTTCCACTGTTAGCTACTAAAGTTGTGTTATTGTTGAGAAATCGCTTTATAGATTCCCAAATCTCATAATTTTCAAATAGTATGCCTATTATTTTACCAGTGAACTGAATTTTTTCCCCTTTCTGTTGACCAGATTGATCAAACCGTGCCTAACACATTAATTGTAGTAAATTGTGATGTTGTGTAGCCTAAAAGCATATAGTAAATGTAAGTTTACAACTGTACATAATTTTTAACCTAAATGTATTATTAACATGTTCATCTGATTCTTCAACAGCCTCAGTTTAAAGATCCTCTCACTGGTAGATCTTAGACTCTTAAACACTTCCTCAAATGAGAATATTCTCCTACACAGAAACAAAGAAGAAAAATATACACAAAACCGGTAAAAAAAAGACATAACTACTGTAAAACAATTTACCTGAAATCGAAAAACTGAACTTAAATCCTTCGTGAAGAATAATCAGAAAAATCTAAAAAGTAAACAAGAAATCTTGATTTAAGGTTTGTGATTCTTGATGCACAAGAGAATTCAAACGAAAAATAAATAAATTAAAAGACGATGTATACAAATATGAAAATAAGCCCAACACTATAAACTCCCAACTACCAACATCGAACCAAAAAATCTGATATCTATGGCCAAAAAAATCAACTGTAATACCCCAAAAAAATAATGAATTCTAACCCAACTCAGATAATAAAGATAGAGGCATCTATTTCACCAATTATAACCCTAAACTAAACTAAACATGAAGTTTTCTGAATTTTTGGGAAACTTTCACAAAAATTGAAACAAACTTAAAAGGGAATGAATCTAAGCACCAAGAATATGGAGCTGGAAAAAATGAGACAAAAATGCAAAGAGAAAAAGTATGAGAAGAATATGCTTGAGGTCAAAACTCTTCAATTTCCTATAGAAATGTCCCCCGTTTGTTGTAGATTTTCACCAAAGGTCCAAAAAAAAAAAAACAAAAATCGAGCGCTTAACTATATAGATCTAAAGAAATTGGAAGAAGAATACACAATGACAGTAAAACGGGGTGAGGATTCTAATTGCAAGTGTAAAGATCAATTTAGGGGAAATTATTTGACACCAATTTCTATGAGAATTGAGAGACTGCAGAGGAAATTAGGGTTAAGGAAATGGGTTTGGAAAGAAAATGGGTGGTTTTGTCATTTTTTACTAAGAAAGTATCTAGATAATGAACAATGCACACCGATTACGTGTTACACAGAGGTGCCAGAAATTAATAGTAATGAGAACCAGAAACTTGCATTTGAGTACTCTGAATCGGACGTTCCACACACCATTCATTAAAATTACGAGCGGCCAGATAATTATATATCCCAGCTTGTGGTCCTGTTAAAGAAAGAAGGAAAATTTCAATGAAAGTTGAATAGTAAACTAAACTTCTACCCTTTGAAGAAAGAAGATGACCCCCACTTCAACCCATTAAAGCAAGCCAATAAAAAGATTTTAACAGCAATAACATTAGTGTACGAAAGTATTAGTGTTCACCTCAACCCTGAAGCAACATTGCTTGAAAAAGAAGGGGGGAGAGCATCTATGAATTCAAACGTAGCTCAAATGCATAATTTCTATAGCAGCTTAGCCAATTCATTTTCTCTGTTTGGTTAGAAGAAAATGCTAGTCCTCTCTTCTCTACCCATGCACAAGAGGCTTCCAAGCTAAAAAAAATAATAATTTATATGAATTTAATGTAACGAGAAGTTCTACCTAATAACAATCAAAAAGAAAATGTTTTAAAGAAAAAAGATTTACCATCTCGATCGCGGCAAACTTGAGAAAAGAAAACATCCCTGGCTTGACGCATGTGATCCTAGTAGAAACAATATATCAAGAGACTACAAAGTAGCAAAGCATAACTCTTCCTTTTAACACAACACAATAAAGAGGATTGAGGAGTTGTGCTACCTTAAGTCTTGCCATGCAGTAGCAGAAAGCAGTCCAATAACCAAAACTACAAATGTATTAGCATTAAAAAATGATAATTTACAGGAGTCAATGTCAACGTAAGATGTAAAGAGTAAGAGTGGGAGCATAATAGAACCTACCTCTATAGTCAGAATACCTTGAAAATCCACCACGATAGCCTCCACTGCTGTAACTACTATAGCGATCATAAGATGATCCTCTCCCTCTGTGTGCAAGTTCAACCTAAAATTACAGAAAGTCAAGGAAATAAAAGGCGATTGAAGCGTAGAATACATTTTTTCTTTTCAATAATGGTATAGAACTACCAAAGGATACTACAACTATTAAAATGCTGATAAACTGTAATACGAAAATTAGTTAGCAAAAAAACAACACTCTTACGTAGTTTCTAAAGAAGAAAAATTGCTAAGTAGTCTCCTTGCTTGTTTTATGAAGAACTTGCTGGGCGCCATTACTCAACTACAATCCTTTTTATGAAACATGTCAAGGGCACGGGACGAAAATATAAAATTGATCAGAAATCTTGGGGACGAGATCTTTTACCCCCTTGTATATGCTCTGGGACTTCAAAATTTCTACATTGCAATTTTTATAAAAACAGTGTTGAATATTTTCCCATTCATTCCAATCATTAATGTTTACATTAGGTGGCAGATGTGCAGGTTGGGTCGAATCTAAACTGGTGGAAAACAAATTGATGGAAGATGAGTTTTCAGCCAACTGACCGATTATGATATGAGTTGAACATGGGTAGGATTCAATTCATACATAAGAGGAAACAGAGTTCTAGTTCTCCTTGTTGGTCATTCTTAATCTTATCATTGTTTCTGTTTTGAGCACTATGTATGCAGCGGGGATAACATCTGAGAATGGGTTAGATTCCAACACATCAGAACCCTATTTTTGTTCATCCAGTCCACTCTCTTGCAGGTAGATCTGGGTGGATTGACAGTTCCTGATCCCTTTAGCCTTGTTCGCAGCATTTATAGTGCAAAAATTATATAATAACATGAAATTGAGGACTTGGTTTTTACATTGAGGATTCTTCTTGGTACAAAGAAAGAGTGAGATAAATTGAGCCTGCATTACCTAGATTAGTTCCGACATGCCTATTTTAGTTAGTTTTAAATCATTTAATTGGCTAAACAATTATTTGGTTATGCTATTTTGGGCTTTTCTACAACCAATGAAAAATTGCCTTGATTATATAAATTATAGCCATGAAAAATGACTAACCAATGCTTTTATCCTGCTGCCTTCTCTCAAGTCATTCACCAGTGAAGAAGCACTTGAAAAGTGACTCGCCATTTTTCCCTATTCATCCACATTATTCTCAGTTTAGTTCATTGCCTCGATCCCAATCATGCCATTTACACCAATATAGTAAGATCCATTTCTAAAGTCATCAACTCCACCAGTTTTATGATAGAGTGCCATTTTCCAGTTAGGCACATTGCTATTGTCCTCCTTTGAGGCATTTGCAACTTTCAAATGATGGTTATAGTTCGAGGGATTGTTATCAAAGATCTTGTTACTTGAATCCATGTCCTTGTTTTGTTTAGCCATTTCCTTTGAAAGAAGGGAACTGCTTGCCATAATCCGATCTACATCATATCTTGAGATTCCAAAGTTGGTTACTGCATCTATCTCCTGAAATTTTTTAGCTGCTACATCATACGCCTCAGCAGCTTCTTCTTGAGTACCTAAAATATAATTAAAATGGTTACAAAAAACAGAAATAGTTTTCTTTGAAGTTACTTGTGGAATATGAAAACTACAAACAAGACGTTAAGCTTTATTTCCGGTAAAGACCTAAGATTTATAAATTTCAGCATGTATTCATTAGGTAGTATACAAAAACAAAATCCTATAGGAAAAACAAAAAAAGTTCACTCCTTCACATTTGAAGATAATTTCGTAGAGTTTATATGCTAAGAATCAATTTAAACCGCAAAACAAAAAAGTAATTTCCCCTGTATAGTTAAAGAATCAACACTCACTAAATGTCCCTTAATAGAGGTCCTTGTTTCCTGCAGCTTCGCCAATTGAGCTTGCCAACATCCGTGTTGATGATGTCTACTAAAGAAAAAAAAATAAAACAAAAACTTCAATGGAGTGGAAGAAAACATCAATTTCAACCGAAGGCTTTAAGCTTAAATAAGGCAGTCTATTAAGACCTTGTAACTCCTCTATAAATTGAAGTTCCCCTGGAGAAGCCATTGCTTTTCCTGTAATATATTATAGTATTCGTTAGTTAAAAATAAACGGACTTGATAAATGTCCCAATTTGTAAATTACTGAGTAGCAAAAAGGCAACCTTCTTAATTAAGCAACATATTCCTGTCTCGACATGTTCTTCATCTCCTCAAGTTCTTGTTGATAATTTTCCAACTGTGTTAATGTCATAGAATCATTTTTCTACCTTTTTAATAACAGATGAAGACCATTAAGTTGTGTAATATTAAAGCACTACTAGAAAATTGATATGGGTTGAATGTATCATGAACTAATGCAACAGATAAATGTCCAATGGAAAAAACTAAAAAAGCATAACATCCAAATTATAGAACGGTCTAATAGATTCACCAACCTCTATGAGAGACTCTTCATGCCAATTGTCTAGGGTATCAAAAGACCTCATTACATTAATATCGTACACCAAACACAACAATCTGCTCCTTTATAAAATGTGACCCCGAGACTTTGAAATCTCTCGTGTCCAGCAGTGTCCTATATCTGCCACCGAACAACCCACATTCATTCCCATGTAAAGAAAACTTAAAACAACCAATTTTGAAGTTCTGAATATAAGATTGCACACTGAATTATATATTTGTTGAATGAAAACAGTTCTTCAAGAAACTAAAACTTACTTGAAGAGTAACGAGTCAGACATCAATTTGAAGCTCCTTGGTGACAAAATCAGCTCCAATTGTAGCCTTATACTGATGATTGAATTTCTTATGTACATATCTACTTTATAATTAAAACCCTCAAAAATAAAGTACACCTAAAGACCACAGAGCACTGATATTAATAACAAGCAATTAAACTTAACACATTCGTTATGGCTTAGTTTGAAACACTAGTTAATGTGAATGTGATGAAAATTTCCATTCTAAAACTGTTACATAAAATCGGCTTCGGTGTGATTAAATCCTTGGGTGCTTTATACATATTACAACCACAACATATGATTTTCCATTTACTCAAATTTCTGCTTACCACTTTCTTCATCGTCACTGAGAGCCGTTTTCTCAAGAAGATAATCACCCATCTCTTCCATATTTGCACCATTTCAATGACTACATTGAAACCACCAGGTCCAACAATAAATACCACTAACAAGTATTCAGTAATAAACTCTAATATACAAAATATGATATGCTGGGTGAAATATACTAAGTTCGACACAATTTTCTTTTCCTATAGGCAATTAATTAATGATATTTTGGGATACCTTAAACATGGTAAAGTACGACAAAACATCATTTGAAAGATAATCATCTTTTTAACGTATGATTTTCATTTGTATTAAGAATTATTCATACTTTAATTAGACAGTGATTGATTGCATACCAGATAAATTTATGAACACAAATTATAGCTGATTCCTGTGTGATTGATATCTTTTTGTCTTAGTTCTTCCACTCCCAAAAAAAAAAACTATCCATTCTTCTGAAAATGACATAAAATTCATCAATTTTGTAAAACAATAATTGCATATTCTCAAGATTAAGAAAGAAAAAGAACTAAAATCTTGTTCGTCTATACCGCGAGAAAATAATAAGCATTTGGTCATGTTCAAACAACAGCATATTAAAAGAGTCCAATAGAGGATAGTCATTTGCTGGTGTCTCTGTAGGGCTGCATAAATTCTGCATGTTTATATAACCAAAAAAATAAAAAATAAAGAACAAAATACTATTTTAAAATAAAAAATATATTGCTCATTAAGATAAATTCATGTACCTAATCAGGTCTAACCATGAATGGTTCTAAAATCCGTTCCGAAGTCATACAACATGGGATTATTCGAAGCGAGTTTCATCGAGATAAACTGAATATATACATTGAGACGAAAACATATATTAATTTTTTTTATAAATTGATATTGTGTTTAATTAGATAATTTGAAGGAAAAAATATAATACCTTGACTTGATTTTGCAAGGACTGGACATGGTTGATTATTTCATCCAACATAAGGGCCTTCGCAGTTACCTGTTTATCACTCGATTTACATGAAGCTGTCGGATGAAGAATTTTGAACAGAATAGAATTTCTATAGACAGAGACAATTATGTATATCGACTTTCCAACAAAATTTCTTTCGAGCAGTGAGTCTGAATGTAATTTAGGAGTCACAAAGACACTAAACAAATGAAGTGTAGTTTCTTTAGTTGTACTCCCCATCCTCGGAAGAGGAAAATCTTAATTCTTTTGTGCACTTATAAATGTAATATTATTTGTGATTCATAATACTCACCTTGTCACAACCAGGAACATGATCATGGAGAAGCTTCATTCTTTCACTTATTCTTTCCCTCCTCGCTTGAAATAATTAGAAAATAAATTGTGAAAATCAATATTCCAAATTCTGGTAATTTAATAGGATTCTTTTTTAGGAAACTAAGGTAAAAAAATAAAAATTCTAATGGAAATACTTGAAGAACAGTTTTTTGAATACCCTTTCTGCAACGCTGGGACTATCTGTTGCCTGGCCCCTCCTTACTCTTACATGAATATAACCAGCTGGAGCTTCTTCCTCTCTAGCTTTTTTATAGTCTTTCTTCGTTGTCTTCTTGTTTTCAACTTCTTTGCATTTCCTTGGCTTCTTTATCTTCGCTTCCTTTAAATCCTAATACACAGACTCCATTACACACAAATAAACATAATCTTTAATTGTTAAAAAAAATATTTTTAAGGCTTAAAATTACCAAATTCACGAAACTGACAAACATTAGCTAACCTAAACCGTCCAAAATAGTATCCAGTTCCTTTAACTTCGCCTCCAAAACTACAATTGGGTTTTGCTCTCCCTGACCCATAATTCCATCGGCCTTAGCTGAAATTTTCATTACAATAGGAAGAATTGAACAAAGTATACACAAGAAGAACATCAAAAGAACATACTATAGGTATTTTGGGTTCGATTTCTTAAAAGACCGAACAAAAAAATTAAAAGAAATCACAGATTCAACAATAAAACTCAAAAATTGGAAACAATATACGGAAGAGGAAGAAATTGTAGTAGTGAAGGTTATACTTACAGGTATATGTATCAATTGCTTTAGATTATTTCGAATTTCTTTGTTCGATCGCGAAAGAAAAAGAGCAATTAGGGTGGAGCGGTAGAGTCGCAGAGAAACGAATATCCAACAAATGAAATGACTGTTTTTTGTACGTCTTTGAAGCCAAACTGGTTCATGAGCAGTAGATTTGGATAGGTGTGAAAAGGAGGGTGCACAAATGAACAATGAATACACCATCCTCTCTTTTATATATATATATATATATATATATATATATATATATATGATCCATCGGCCTTAGCTGGAATTTTCATTACAATAGGAAGAATTGAACAAAGTGTATATATATATATATATGATGCAAAACAAATTGATTGAGCTATTCGACCTTTATCTAGATAAGCTATTTGTCTTGCACATGAAGAGAAGAGTCCTTAGTTGATTGGATTGTGAACTTTGTTAGTGAAAACGTAATCGAACATATATATATACAATCTTAAATTATTGAACAGGGAAACATTTTCAAATACTCCCAACAATGGATTATTATTAATTATTCAGGATGAAAGTGAAGGGGGGGGGGACAACGTGAAATTAGACGTATCTCATATTCACAGGCAAGTTGTATCAACTATACAATTGTTAATGTAACTGTAAATAAGTAAAGTAGCAAAAATTAAGTTTTCGGTAAGAAATTGAAGAGCAAGAAAAAGATAAGTGGAGAAGAAATCTACCTTTGGAAACATAATGATAAGAGAATATAACGGGTAGCATCAAGTGAAAGATTCTTTCAAATATGTATAAATGAGATCATCTGAATAAACAAAGATGGAAAAACAAGGCTTTTACGAACTAAGAGGAGGAAATAAGAAACAAAAGTAAAAGAATATATAAGATATTTTTTAAAGATTTACGTAGATAATTTCTCATGATATGATAATGTGTTTTTACTATATTAACTTTCATCTTGTACAAAGTAGATTATGATAAGTGACAATGAAAAAGAAAATATTAAAGAACTGTAGACTTACGTGTGTATTAATGAAAGGATTTCTTTGTAGACAACATTTGTCGTACATCTTTTCATGTAAATGGTCAGCATTTGTTGGTTTAAGTAGAACTTTGATAAATTTGCTTGTTTTTGCTCTTGATAATGTCACATAGAGCTGACCATGACAGAAAACGGGTTGGGGAAGATACAAACCAACAAAATCAAGTGTTTGACCCTGTGCTTTGTTTATTGTCATTGCAAAGCACGACCTAATTGGAAATTGAGTTCTTTTAAATTGAATTGAATTTTGATAACTTTTTAGAGGTATAAAAGGGATCCTCGGCAAGAAAACATATTTTCCACAATATTCACATGTTGTGATTTCTGTAAGAATTACATTCTTTTCAAATTTTCGACAAGTAAGGCGCGTCTCGTTACATAATCCTTCTGAAGGATTGATATTTCATAATAACATCATAAGACAGTTCATCTTAAGTATCAATTCATGGGGTGGAATGCCATTTAAGGTTAAGACTATGTAAAAAATCTTCTTGCAAGTTTTGTTCTAATTTATCAATTGCCTCATCAAAACTATAGTATGCATAACTTTCACCAGGAATTTGTTCAAATAAATTTCTGTTAATATGATCAACACATTCATTTGTAGGTGTAAGAATAACTCGATTTGCCATCGCTTGGAGGTTATCAGCATATGTTTCTATATCTGGAAAAAAATGATGTATCAAATTCTTTAAGGATGAAATTTCATCTTCAAATGGTAAAACTATATCCTCTCGAAGTTCAATGCATTTACAAGTATGCTTTTTCTCTATTCCATCTCCAATTCTTAGCAAGTAACTACAGAAAGTGGGATCCAATTTAGCTCTCATATTTTCGGTTAATGGAAGATGCAAAAAGGAAGGCCATAAGTCAGAGAAAACTAAGCTAGCTTTCATTATATCGTATTTTTTTCCTTTTCGTACAACTGGTAGAACTTGTCGAAAATCACCTCCGAGAACTACTACTTTCCCACCGAAGAGCAAATTACAATCAGTAATATCTCTAAACATTTTATCTACAGCTTCCACAGTAGAACGATTGACTATCGGTTCTTCATCCCAAATGATTAATCTTGACATGTTCAACAAATTTCCTAAAGCTGATTGCTTGCCAACAGAACAGCTTATTTTACCAATTGTTTCCAAATGAATTTTAAATCTTGAATGACCTATTCGACCTCTAGGTAAAAGAGATGCACATACTCTAGATGATGCTGTTGTCAAGGCAATTAAATTTTGTGAACTTACACCACTTAGGAGTGCTTTATATAAAAAAGTTTTGCCTGTTCCACCCGGATCATCAATGAAGAAAGCACCGTTTGATTCTAATTTAACTTTTTTCATGATTGTATCATATGCAAACTGTTGTTCTTTATTTAATGTTGTTGCACAATCAAATCCACCTTGAGTATCAAAATGAATTGTCTCATCTTCAACCATTCTTCTCAACTTTTCAATCTCATCTATATTTACATTGAATGACACCATTGCATAATTGTTTACGTTCTTACCTAATGATTTCAAAATAGAACTGATATCTTCTAAAGCTCGTAATTCAGCAACCTCTACAGATATATTTTGATATACATAATCATCAATCATATAAACTTTAAATTTATCCCACAAGAGTTTTGGATGATTAGTATTGCAAAGCGTAAGAAGTGTAGCAAAAAGACGTCTTAAAGCAGTAGGCATCTCATACAAAATATCTTCAGATATACATTCTTCACAGTGATTATCTCCGCTTAGTAAACCATGTAGAAGTGCTGCTTCTCGATATGTAGGAATAGTTACACCGTTCAAAGTTCGTAAATCATTAAAAGATACTGGTCTTCTAATATGATTAAGAAGAATACGAAGAAAATATCGTTCTCCTTTAGATGGGTTAGCCGTGACAATTCGTCCTATAACAACATGTTTTTTTCCTAGGAGTCTAAACTTTGTTATTTGCATTCCAAACAAAATGTTTTGGAAAATCTCGATACAATAATGTACGAGCAAATTCGTTTGTTTCATTCATTCGAAAAAATTCAGTTAACATAGTTTTCCTCGTATTTTCTTTTTGAATAATAGTAAATAAATCATCTTCATTGGCATACGTTACTTGTTGATGATCCTCAATATGAAGCTGTAAAGAGTAAACAGATGGATAAATATCGGACAAATTGAAAGAAAGAATCCTCCACATAGCCTCAGGAGGATATATCCATCTAACAGATTGATAAGCTGAAATTTCATCAATTTCTTTGTTTGTTTCATTTGTATCTATACAAAAATTAATACGATCATGACATCTGTACACATATTTGTAGAGATATTTAACGGCTTTGATAGAAGAACATACTTCAATATTAATATGACAATCAAATTTAGCACTTAAATAAGGATTATATGGTACGACCCAACGATTGTCTAAAATTTGACCTCTAACTTTAACAGAAATACCATTATTACGACGTCTGTACAATGGATAAGAGTCATCACCAAAAATAGTACTATTACAATAATCTTTCGGATATTTATTTTTACAACCTTTATTTGGTTCCATACACACATTCTTAGGATTTACGTTTCCACAAGGGCCATGCATATTGTGTTTAACAATAACAGAATGAAGATAAGAATGTTTCTCCTTGTCAGGAATTTCACAGGAAAATATCTTATCAACATGTTCAGTACAACAAATTTTGTGACCACAGTTGAAAATTAGCAATAGATGTGCATGAGGGAGTCCTCTTTTTTGAAATTCAATCATAAATATATGAGCAATGACAGGGCATAGTATATTTTTCATATATAAATCATTTTTCAACTCCTCTAATTTTGCTCTTAAGATACGCACAATTAGATCTGATCGATTTTGAACATCATCATTGTGCCTTAGTTCTTTCTTAATTTCTGGCCAATTAGGATTACATGTTACAATAAAAAATACATCTAATTTTCCATAACGTTGTACAATAGCCATTGTATCCATATATCTCCTTAGCAAATCTCTCGGACCACATTTAAAAGATTGTGGAAGAACAAACTTTCTTCCAATTTTGTACCCCATCGTCTCTCCACTTTCAACACTATCTACAATGCCTTGATAAAGTTCGGCACGAAATTTTTTTTGGTTATTACGAAAATAATCTAGTCTAGTAGTTTCAATCTTAACATACATATCTACAACATATTGTTGAAATAGTCTACCAGTATGAAGTAACACGAACTTGCCAGGAGACTTGATTTGTAATTTATACAAATAGTATTCTCGGCAAGAGACTTGAGATCGTTTCTTTTTTTCATTAAGCACCGCATCACATAAAAATAACACAATTTGAGTATTCATATTCATTTAAAGTAGTAAAATTGCAAAAGTCATTAAATTTACTAAAATGTGCATCTATTAACCTGCATACTCTTTTTCAAGAAGTTCATTTACAGAATTCACTGCGCTAGGAAGAGTGATAGGGTCGGACAAATGCTAAGGCAAGAAGCATGGGTTTCTATATCTCTTAATACCTTCGTGCCAGCCAGATTCTCCATATGGAAAGATCAAAGGATATTGTAAAGGATCATAACAATCATAGTAATAGTGGACTTTGTGTGATTCACCAGAATGACTATATATAGTAATATCACGAACACGGATATTTGCATTTTCATCATTTTCGACCCATACAGTAGCTACTTGAGACGCTGTAGGAGTATTAAAAACTCTTTGATCAACTCCTGGATCGCATCTTATTTGTATCCGATGGTGTTACAAATTAGGGATATTACTTAAAGACCTAAAGAATCTACTATATGGATTTATGGTTAGAATTTGCATTAAAAGAATCAAAGTAGATTCAACAAAGTTCTCTGAAATGTTCATACGATTTTGAAGCTCATTATCTGTATCATAAAAATATAACTGCATATAAGACGGTAAGTTATTTTCTGGCATAAGTTGATTTACATAATGATATACTTGTTCCTGCACTCTAAATGTGTAAATACCTCTGTATGTTTTAAAAAGTTCTTTATCATATTTTACACCAAATGAAGTGAATGCAAAGTGGTTATTATATTCCCTTGCGATTTTTTTAAATTCCATACATATAAGTTCTTTAGAAGTAAATAAGGTGTACAGTTCAGTTGGTGATTCGGGCATAAAAAGCTTAACTTTTCTATCAGAATAGCAAAATCCTTTACTTTCTCTAAAAAATTTACGTGCACCACAATATTTACAGTCAATACACGGTGGTAATACATATGAAGTACTTGGTACATTCAACAGATTTGAACTTCCTTCTAATTCAGAATTGAAATTATCAATTGTTCTTTGGTTTGACGTTGAAGCTTCAAACTCATGATGTGTTGTAGATTCATGCATTTCAACAAGATCTAAGCTATTCTCTCCAAATGATATACGGTTATTTATCCTCTTTCGAAGATCAACGCGCTCAATTTGTAATCGATTGTATCGATCCCTTTCTCTTTGATTATGTTGTTGACGAATAAAGACGTGGTATGACTCGCTGGGTGTTTGAGAGGTAGCTTGAAGGTTAACTAAATCAACTTCTTCATCAACAGATGGTTCAAAAATATCCATCAAAACACTAATAGTTATTGTAGAATAGTTGGACCTCAACTTTAGCTACAAGAACTGAAAGCATTAGAAAGAATTAATCCTACACATGTTAAAATATACATACAATAAAACTAAAGTTCACAATATGTAATGATGAGTAAAGATATATTTTAGAAGGAAAAAATAGTGTGTTCATAAAATGCAGAAATGAAGCTCAATAACCAACAACCTATTACAAATTTTACAAGTTACCATAAATAAATAACCAAAATAAACATACTAAATAAACGTATGAACAAAGAATTGGATAGTTCAATTAGAAGAACTTACCCAAGATAGAGTGCGCTGCTACAGTCGTTAATTACAACAATCGAAAAATATAATTTAACATTGTACACATAAGAACAATAAATACAGATCAGAGTTTGCAATTTGTCAATAATACTTGAATGATAAATACTATAATAAAAAACTTAGCAAAAAAATACAAATAGGCTATAAGATAAAATAGAACTCAGCAAAATCTAAAAAAGAAAACAAAAAATATGATACCTAAAGATAGCATAGTTCAATTGATGTTTAAATTTTTTATATTTTTACGCTGAGAATGATATCTTGCAACCTGGAACAAAAAATGAAAATAAATACAATATTAACGGAACCAATTAAGCCATGGAATCATGAAAATTATAATAAAAATTATTCATAACACTACAAAAATTCATTAATTCCAAAAAGTAAAAGCAAGAGAAGAAAATACACACAAAAATATGGCTAAAACTTTAAAACCTACAAGTAGAAATGAAGAAAACTGTAAGAATTCCTAGATGTGCCAAGAATGTTTGAATATATCTACAACATTTTCTCTTAATCTTCATAAAAGCACTAAAAGCAAACATTAAGCAAAACTTAAACTTCTGAGATAGATCGAAGTAGAGAAAGAAGAACCTAACTAAATTTTACATGCTAATGGAAAGAATGACAACATTGTGATCTAGAGTTGCAAAAAATAACAAAGAAATTCAGAGTGGAGTAAAGATCGAACAAAAATTTTATTTATTTTTAGCTAGATAAAAATAATATTTTGAAACTTAGAAGTACAAACACCCACAAAAGTGTAAAAAATCCCTAATGAATCGAAAAATCTGCCAATATACTTACAACAACTTGTTCTCACATTGTTCACTTGTACTAAAACGTTTGAATCCCCACCCTTCACTTTTTCAATCACCTAGGCACGAAGGTTTTACTAAAGAAACATTAAATAATAAAATATTTGACATTAAAATATTCAAAAGACTTGGATTTGAATTTATTCCTGCTTTGTCACTTTCTCTCCTGCAGGCACGCTTTCTCTTTACACAACTCCCTTGTGTTCATATGGTGTCTTAATTTCTTGCAAAAGCTTGATATATTTTGTATTTTTGTTTTGAAAATCCTCTCTCTTTCTCGTTGTAGTAGACGTATACATAAACATTTTTTTCCCTTAAATAGAGCTAGAAAAACTAACAAACAAATGACAATGAAACAAAGATCTAAAAAAAATTCAAGTTTATCACCTAGATCAAGGTAAACGGAAAACAAAATCAGCTGTGAAATTGAGGAGAACAAACTGGACAATTGAGAGAGAAGGCTAAAATGAAGTTGAAGGCAAAAAGAAATAATGTCGGTAGAAAAGTCTGGATGTTTTTATGTTTGCACATATTTTTCAATATGACGTTGTTTTCATCCCGATGAACAGTGGAAAACTCACTTTGTGAATAGTCGTGTGACCACAAGTCCAGGAAAAAAGGATAACATCCTCTAGTTAATTTTAATACAATATGGATAGATATACACACACCAATTACATATCTATCATGACTGCAAAAAGTGAATCCTACTTTCTGCTTGTAGTTAACTTTCACTCTGAAAATTGCATTTACATACGTTGTTTTTACCATGAAAATAATCGAAAATTAATATTAAAGTAAAACATTGCAAGATCCAAAGATTTACTTAGCAACAAAGAGCACGTACAAGACTGATCCTAGACTGAGCGATATATTCGTACATATATACAATTGAACTACCATTCTCATTCACTAAAGAATGAAATTAACTGCAAGTTCAAACTATATTTTGATGAGGGTCCATAAAATTAGTAAACTGAATGTGAATCTATATCTCTATTACTATTAAACTACTGATCTAAAATTTATAATTAGCCTATAAAAAATAAATTTCGGTACTAAGGTCTCACATGAAATGACTAATTTAAAAAAGTAAGTTATTAACTAAATTTATATTCAAAATAGAACCCCAGAAGTTGATATCAGAATATTAATTACATTTTCCCCACAAGTTTAACAACAAATTTTCTCAAAGCCCTATACAAACAACAAGATACTTGTAAATATGATAACCTAAATTGGATGTGGAGCCAAAAAAAAAAAAAAAAAAAAGAGCACAACATCTAGAAATAAAGCAATGTTAACATAAATGTTAGAGAAATACAAAAAAGTTCTTAGATTCAACGGATTGATCTAAGGAGAGACTGGCATGGGTATTAATGTTGCTCACTTGCGTATGATGTAATTTATATACCGAAAGAAAAAAGAAAAGAAAAAAAATGAGTAAGGCATAAAGTTCCTAAATCATGGTGCAATTCCCATCCAATAAGTTAATCCATCCAATAAGTTATATGGACACGTCGATTGCATTCCATTTTCCTTCCATCTAGCCATCTTTGTTGACTAAAAACACTGTTGTTCATTCTTTGAGAGTTAAAAATTTTCTTTTCACGTAGCCTCCTGGTTTTGTATTGTTGAGTATATGGGCAGGTGGATTGCAGTTTATTTTTATCCCATCTGGCCAACTTTGTTGACTGAAGAAACACTATTGTTCATTCTTTTATAGAGGAGAAAAATTAAAAATTTGCTTTGGCCACCATTATTCCTAGCTATAGTAGATCTTCATTGGGAAATGGTAGCATTCATTAATGGTGTTGATAAGTGGGTGGGAACAGTTAAATTATCTTCATTTGTCTTTTACAAGGAACCACTACTATTAGTATACATTTCCTTTAACTCTATATTCATCAGTTTTTTTCTTCTCTGTTAAATAATAAAACTCCCGAGGGAATGAACTCCCATCTCCTTACGAATCAATATTTTTGGGCAAAAATTGATTACCCTTTCTTCCAGTTTATCATAATCTATATACCCAGCCCATGGGAAGAAATTATTATAAAATTGAAAATAATAAATTTTTTTTTTCTTTTTATCTAAAAAAGTAGCACTTGTTAAAACAAACACAGGAAAATTTTGAAGGATCTCAGCACATTTTTTTGAAAGGAACCCTAAAATTGATGGATAAAAAATTTGATCAAACATTAATAAGCCAAAGTTTGAAGGTCAGATATATGTATATTAGGTAGCTAACAAGTAATATTTTATAGGTTTTTGGTGGTGGAGTGGAAGTTGCATACGTAGCTATTTTGGAAAAATAAAAAAATTTAAAAAAAAAGTTAAAGCAAAATCATTATAATAGGAAAACTTCAACAGAAGTATAAGAAGTCCAGACAAGCAAAAATGAAGCAAAATAATATACATCAAGCAAAAAGTGAAGCTGTTGACATAGATGAAGAGAACCCAGCTAAATTCTCGCACACCAGACAGGAAAAATGCAAGAAGACCTTAAAGAAAGCTAACAAAACTTAAAAAAAAAAAAAAATCCACGAACAAGCAAACATCTAACAACAACTTAGCTTTCTCGGCTAGATCAAGGAAAAAGAAGAAAAAATCAGAAAATAATATGAAGAAAACGTACCGTAAAATCGATAGAGAGAAGCAACGTGTAAAATAAATAGTACAAATGGTAGTACAAAAGGTATATATATACCAAAGATATTTACTCATGAACGTCTAGTTTGTGAACAGTATGAAGCCTGATTGGTGTGAAACGGGCAGCAAAAGAATGAACAGTGGATCACACATTCCCTCTTTTATTTAAGTGCATTGATAACTAATGAAACAATTATATATTATTAATTTTCATTTTCGAAATAATTTCTTTAAAAATTTATTGACTCAAATTATTACTTCATTTGTTTAATTTTATTTTGATACAATAAATAATTTTTTAATACAATAAATAATGATTAAACAATTATTTATTATTAATTTTCATTTTCGAAATAATTTCTTTAAAAATTTATTGACTCAAATTATTACTTCATAATTTATATACTTTTATTGTTAGGTTTTCTCAATTTATTTTATAAAATTTAAATCTAGATAATCTAAATATTGCTTTTTATTCTTTTAAGAGTTAAAAAAACATTTTTTTTTCCTTTTGAGATTAAAAATTATTCTATTTCTAAAAATCATTATTTTTCAAAATTTTGCATAACCTCCGCCTAAGCCCGGAGTTTGTCTTTACCGTTTAATCATGCTTTATGTAAAAATTTCATCTTATTTCACTTAAGTTCGTAAAAAATTTAAAACTTGATTATGCATATATGATTGCAAAATATTTTTTTTTTCCATCATTGTTTTGAGTTGTATTGAATTATATCTTTAAATGTCTATGACTTTTACATTTTAATGTATTTATACATTGATTGGATTTTTTAATATTATTTAATTAAATATTAATAAACAATTTTATTATTGCATCTGTCAACAGTCAATAGTCGCCCTAACTAACTCAATATCGTGGATCTGTCACTTATTGTGAACACTTCTACTACTCAACATTTCCCCAACTACCGTACTCTCTCTCACCGTCCACCTCGCTGGAAATCTCAAGCTCAATCTAATCACACATTCTCCTACGGAACTATGACCAGAATTACTCAAAATGCAACAGCTAACCAAGTCAAGACTCTTCTTCTCCGCATTCCATTTTCCCTCACTAACCAAAGCCATATTTGGCTGAAAAGGCAACTGATACTCATTATACACAAGATCCCCAAAACCTAACAAATGCATAACTCTCCCATCCCCCAAATACACAGCCCCTGTTTGACAACCTTCATTTCAAAACTCTTTAAGTCTTATATTCATTTTCAATCACACAATTAAACAATAAAATATTTTACACGTAAACTCAAAATTTTTTACTACTTTTTAACCACACATTCTCCAAAAAATCACTATTCAAAACTCCATTTTCTCAAAATAATGATCAAACAGGCCTAAGTTCATCACCCTGGGCATGTACTACCATTGCCGCCTCCAAGAAAATCACAGTTCACCCTACTGCATCCACTCATATAATCCAATTCAAGAACACCGGCTGATCTAATAAATTGACACAGTTTGTCCTAAGTCCCCTACACCTAGCGAAACATTAGCCAAATCATAAAAAACAGAAAAAATAACATTATTTTTAACTTCTTCAATCAGCTTATAATTATATATATTTCCTCAAGTTCACGCCTAGTATCTTTACCTGCTTTATCATTTACGTCCAAACTTTCCGACGTACCATTTAGTTAAAATACTGGAAGAATCAAGATAGTCGAGTTTTAAAACGGTATGAACAGATCTTTGTTTGCCCAAACTTGAGCCAACTAGGGTTGTCAACGAGCCCGGCTGACTAGTGAGCCAAAATTTAAGACTCGAGATCGGCTCGAATAAAATGATCAAGCTTTTTTTTTGGGGCCGAGCAAAGCTTAGTCAAAAAAATTAGGCTCTACCAGAGCTTTCGACTTGGACATTTTCGATCCGAGCTAGGTCGAGCCGAGCCAAGCTCCATTTTGATTGTGGTTTTGGTGTTTTTTTTTTTTTAATTAATAAAAAAGACAGCAGGTGGCTACCAAGCAGCATGCATGTTGCTGCCTTTTAAAAAATATATATATTTTTTAAATATAGGCTCGTGAGCCCGACTCGACGTGTCACACGGGCTGGCTTGAGTTTTGCCCGGCACCCTAAAATGGGGTTCAGCCCGAGCCTCGAGTATGGCGAGCTCGAGCCCTTTTCGAATCAAGCCACGGATGATCCGAGTTGACTAGTCCGATTGCTATCCCTAGAGCCAACCAGACACACCTTCCCAGAGCTCGAATCCTAGTATCCGTCATCGAAAACACCAGCACACGCAACGCATTCCTCGGCCAGTGGAGAGGCCGGTATTGCACAAGCCGCAACTCCCGGTGCTTGAAATTTCCCAAATACCCCGACCTTGAGCACCCGTTAGATGCAAGAACGCGCCGATTTTGAATACCTCGTCGGTTTGCGTTTTGTAACTTTGCGGGTCCACAAAAAGAGGGACCTTTGCGGATTTAGAAAATTGCCCTTCTGAGAGTTTTCCTCCGTGTAATCAAAATGGGCATTGTGGAGAGTGAGGAATTTTGATCCAGGGAATGGGGTATTCGGGTCTGAGTCCGGGGATTTGGGTGGCTCTAGAACGACTTTGTTGCATTCTGGGGAGTATGGAATTTCGGAAGCCGAATAGGTGGCGCTGGAAAAAATGAGGAAGAAGATAGTGAATTGTGATATATGTAATTGTGGAGGGCATATTTAGAATATAATCACAAAACTTGTTGGCCCGATGGTGGTGGAATTTTGAGATCGATCGCTAAACTATGGCGACGGACAGAATTTGGGGGCATGTTCAGGAGAAACAAATTTTTGATCGAGAAAAGTGGTCACTATTTGTGAAAGAAGAAACAAAAAATGATGGCTGACTTAAAAAAATAACGATTAAAAAATTAATTCTTTTGAGTAAAATATCAGAACCAAACATACAGAAAGTTTCGACCTACATATGGGACTGTGTTGGCCTCTCTCCAAAATCTCAAGAGTTAATTACTCAAATAGTAACTTTGCCTTCAGAAGATCATTAAAATTTATGAGGTCACTGAATTTTAAAACTTTCCTATTTAGTCACTAAATATTGCAAACGGTTCTTAGGGGGTCATCTAAATTTTTCCGATGATTTAATTTCTGGAATACTAATAATCTGATAAATCCTTTATAACGTTAATAATTGAATTAGGTCTCATGTGTTTTTTTATTTTTTTTAATCCTTTTTTCTATGTATTAACATCAAAATAAAATTAAGGTTGTTTTGAGGCGTAAATTGTAAAATACCATACGCAAAATGTAAAAAATACATGAAAAAAATTATAAGTTCTGGAATAATTTGTAAATAGCTTACGTCATTGAAATTTATTTCATGCACAGAATTTAAAAAATATAATTAACTTTATATTATTTTATAACACCAAACTAATGAAAGCAAAAGGCCAACTCTTTGTAGTCAAAAGAAAGGAAAAGTCCTAATTTCGGGACAGATTCAATGTGGGAGCGTATACCTTGAAATCCGGGTCGTTTCTAGCTTGCTTTCGGAATTGGAGACTATTCGGGATCTTCTTCTTCTTCTTCTTCTTTTTTTTTTTTTAAACACACATTCTCTAGTAAAATAATATTACATGTAAACTCAAAAAATTTCCTTATTTTCAACCACACATTCTTCAAAAAGTTACAATTCCAAAATATATTTTTCCCCAAAATCTATTTTTAATACAATCCAAACTAAGGTTCATTATCTGTTATCAGACTTTGGTAAGAGCAACGTCATCGTAAATAAAGTTCATCAAGAAGCCAATCAAACAAGAAATCCTAAACAAAAGATTACACACTATATTCACTTTCATTGATACAGAATTTATTACATGACACCGTATCTTACAATGAACACCAAATGTCTTCTATAGTACAGAATTTATAGCAAGTCATACAGCACTGATAGTCTGATACAGAACATATAGTGCTTGTCCTGATGGGTTTTTTTAATACATTTTTAAAATTTTTATTCATCAAACATACACACTTTTGATCATCAAGATGATATTTTACATTAGATAATGTCATTCTTACATATAGGCATAGGTTACTCAACCTGGTCCAACATTTGTCTACAATCAACACCATTATCGGAAAATGCTTCCACCAGCTTAGGAAAGAGCTTTCCCAGCATGATCTTGAACCCCGTGGAGCTTCCTTTCTGACTTTCATGTTCAGGTTTACCGTCTCCGAATGGATAACCTATTGGAGCTCCTTCCATATATGCTTTACAAGCTAATATAATGTTCTTGCATCGCCCCGTGAAGTGCTCCTTCACAAGTTCCTCAAAGTGCTGCACCATTTTATTCAAATTGAAAGGAAGTTTCAAAAATTTGTCCAACAGCATGCAGAACACTATGTAACAGCAATCTGATGATAATAAAAAGTTCAACTGAGCATCTATATATGTGTTTTATTATGTGTTTGTCGAGAGAATTGAATTGTGGTTGAGTTGCGTTCTCCAAGTGATACCATTGCCAGAATAAAGCATATTCGAACAACTAATTTACCTTTGGCGGTTTTCGTAGAAGGTACATCATGGATCTGCAGCTTTCAAGAAAAGCATTTTCATTGTAACTAACTGAGTTCTTCTCACCCTCAGCTTTGCCAATATGTGCATCGTATCCAGCCTCATTAAAATAAGGTTTTTCGTTGAGTACAAGGGCCTGGAGGGAGAGGAGAACTTGAAGAATCGTGGAGGATCCTGGATTCCAAACTTCAGTGCCTGAACCCGTCCAAGTATTTAGGATACTGAGACAGACCTTTCCTGACTCGTATAAGTTGGGATTGATGCGAAGTCCACCAGAGTTATAGTGCACCATCTGCACATATTTCATGTTAATTATACATAATTATCATTTCGGCACATCACTCAGTAAAAAAGACACCAATTCTGTAAATCACTTAAAGAAGTTCCATAATAAGCAATTACTTGCATAAAAAACCATTGATTAAATACCCAACTAAAAAGGCTTACTTACAGGTGGCTCATCAGGATATTGTGGGGGTAGACAAATGTCAAAGAAAAACAGTCCATCATGATATGGAGTTCCAGGTGCACCTACAATTGCTGCTCGAAGCAGATCCATTCTATCCTCATAGACACGGACATAGATTGTTTCTGTAAAATTGTAGGAAAAGAAAAATCTCTTAACTAATGGCAAAAATGAAATGCACATTTGACTGGAAGGGATTTGTGCGAATTTATCAACACACTACCAAAATATTCATCTATGAACCACCAAATTAAATAACTATAAACCAATCTATCTATTTTATACCAAGAATCGACACAAATTTGAGCTCGTGTTTGGTTCTTGCAGTCTTTCTAGCAACATGTTGCTTAATCTGGGTCTATTTATTTTCAACTTCCACACTGCATGTACATTTGGAAATGCATATTTACATTGTTTACATAATGGTAAAGTCAAAAACATATTTCTCACCTGAAAGATCTTTCTCCAGAACGCTCCATTCTTGGTGAACCTTCTTAAGCCAGCCTCTTTTCATCTGTACACAAACCAAAATTCAACCAGCTGCTGGACAAGCAAATTGATTAACTTTTTCGAGAACTGAGATTCTATATCGAACCTGAGTAGATTGCAGGACTCCTGTGCCAGATCGATCAACAAAGTGGTGGTCCAAACCACCACTAACCATATCAAACTGCCTAAATTGTTCGGGAAGCCTTCTTTACAATGTAAGAGAGATCTATGTTACCTTTTCTTTCTGGCCCAAAAGTTGGTTCTCATGGTCTGCAGTGTCCCCGTTTGATTGCTGAATATTTTCATCGTTGACAATAGAAGTGGCAGTTGTACCATCACATTTATCAAAGCGATATATCTCGTATGGTAAGACCTGAGATATTGTTGAGTAATCAATGAGAGTTTTTAAAACAAGTCAGTAAACAATTATTTTTGTAATTAATGAGAATGTCAGAATGATGATGAAGAAGATTGAAAAGAAATATCATTATCCACAAAAGGGCAGATAACATCAGAGGACCAATACTATATTCTCCATAAATAAGCCCCGACACAAATCAACTGTAGTCCTCCCCCATACGCATACAACATCCGAAATGAAAATTAAATATGAAAAAGTCCGTTTATATATGACTAACTGACAACCAATAAATGTTTGAACTAATTGCAAATTTCATTTATTGTTCAACTGAGAAGAGGATAAATTTCAAGAACACAAGGAAGATGCATACCTTGCTAGTGGCACCAGTAGCCCATTTCACTTCAATGACCCAATCTTTGAAGCCAACTACTAAACCAATATGAGATAAAAAGTTGCTCTTCGGATATCTATTCTGAACTTCACCATTATCATTAGCCTTAAGATCAGATTCTTCCGAGACACCACTTTTAGAGATTGTGTGGTTAGTGAAACAGTTTTCATCTGCTAGATCCAAAACTCCACTCTTTTGCATTCTAAACACTGCATCACCCAGACAGTATGAGTAGTCCGGGTGCTCAACCAATTCATAAGCACTCACAATCTCCTCTACTTCTTTTTCACCGGAAGCAGTGGAGTTACACCACTTTACCTTCACTGTTCGTTCTTTTGAGTCCACACTTCTCACAATACCCCATCTTTGATCACAGGAAACATTAGAATCGTCACAAGTTCCCTTTTCCATAACAAATGCATCAGGCCAAAAATCATGAACATCAACAATATTTACAGGTAACAGAGAATGTGAATCTAATCCCATAGATTGGCTGCCATCCTGCCACTGGACATCAATTTTAGTCCTTGTCCGAACAATAACAGAAATTTCCTGAAAATTAGGACTGAGGCTGTTTCTTGGAAGTATCTTTTTTGATTGCCCATGCCCTTTTACCAGCCCAGAGGAAAATGCACATGGAAAAATCTGCTCCATTGGAAGAACACACCAATCGCCAAATTGCCAGTTTGCATGGGGAAAACTGGACAACAATGTTAAATTTTTTGAATTCTGTAAACATGGGGGAGTAGACCATTTCTCACCATCAACAGAAGCACAGCCGAGCCAGTCAACATATACAAGTCCAGCATCCACATTGCAGACAGTGCCTTGGTTGTTTCTATTCTTTCTTGTACCACATAACCAACCAACTGGTTTGGAAACAGAAGAGGCATCAACTTGAACTCTCTGTCCTGGGTAGAAAGGGTATTGCGAGTCTTCGAGTATATCAGGAGAAATGGCAATGATCTTTTCCGGACCAATTGTGGTTAATTCACACTTTGTACCATCATCGAATAGGACAGTGATACGATCAACTATCTTATCCACTTTTCCTAGCCATGCCCCGCTAACTACATAATCTCCGACTGAAATCGAACGTATCTTCTGAAGATTTTTGGAATTTACATTGTGTATTTTTCTTCCATAGATATTTTCCAAGTCAACTGTTAATTCAACATTGATCACCTTTCCCATTTGGCCCAATGGGTCTGATGCTAAGCAAACTATGTCCCCATGCATGAATGCCCTCTCAAACAAGAGGAAATCATCAATCTTTCCAATAGTTTCCTCTAGACTAGATAAAATAGAACGGGCCTGTCCACCATACAAAGACTCAATGTCATCATGATCCTCAGAACTGCTGCTCTCACTGAGACTGTCGAAGTAACTGTCTAGCAAATCCATAATACTGATACCAGTTCAGTTCGGTTGTAATCCCACTGCAAATTCGTTATAAATGACATTATTACCAAAAAAATAAAGCATGGGAGATGAAGATTGTTGAAATGGAAGTAGGATACCATCTAAATGATGTTCTCATTTGTGCATTACTCAAAAATATATTTTCTCAGCGACGTTCCTCTCTAAAGACTTAATTATCACCCAAAAATTTTGCTAGTGAGATAAAAGTTACTTGTGGATTGAAGCTTGGGTGTAGATAACATACACTAGATCATTAATTATGGTTATTGTAGATGAAATACAGGAGACAAAGATTGTTGAGAAATAGAAGTAGGATGCCATATAAATAATGTTCACACTTTTGCCTTACTCGAAAATATGTTCCCTCTGCAATGTTCATCACTAAAAGACATAATTATCACCCCAGAATTTAGAACATGAAATAAAATTCACTTGTAGATTGAAGCTTGTTTTTAGACAACTTATACTAGAACATGAATTATGGTAATTGTATCAGTACTGCTGGTTATATCACTTTACTTCGATGAGAACTAGTGTTAAATCAAAATGACTCAAATCAACACCAATCATCAAATAATCTCACTTCACATTAAGAAATTTGAGCTGCGTATGATTGTTTCCTGATGAAGCTAACCAAACGAAAAAGAAGCATAATAAAATAGTAATGACAAAAGTAGAAAGAGGTTTACCACTTGGGTTACACTTCAATCGTGACTGACTAGTTTGGAGTGTAGGCCTCTGCTAGATTGAACAATAACTTGCAAATTGCAATTTGAATTAATAGTCTTGCCAAAAATCAGAGGATAAACAGTGCAGTGTGTCTCTGTTTATAGTCCAATTTTTTTCGTATTGTATTATCTCCAGGACTGGAGATTAAATGCCAAAGGAGATTTGCCCACTAAAGGGATAAACAGAGTCTATTCAAGACTCCAAAATGCCAAAGGAGATTTGCCCAAAAATGGACCAAAAATTTCCACCAGTAGGTATGGTCGAGCCAAAAAATTTCATGAAACGAAGAGGTCCTGGTAGAAATCCCAAACTGACTGTATTCCTGACTGCTCTTATAAGATGAGAGCTTAAAATTGTCGAACCCTTTAAATTTGCCAAAGGAGATTTGCCCTGAACCAATATCACACACAGATATATATTGCTAAAGACTTGGAGGATTTTTTGGTTCTTTCAAAAACCATATACGTATTGCCAAAGGAGATGTGCCCGAGTGTAGCCGAATTTAAGATCAGCTCGACCCAATGACACAGGAGAGAGATTTGCCACACAGAAAGAGCTTCAACTGAGAACAAGTATATCTGAGCCACCGGAAACAACACTTAATCTTATTATTATATCCTTTGAGTTCAATGAATCTTTGTTATCGATCACCACTCTTCTTAAATCAGACAATTGTTGTTGCCAGTTTTAAATGTCCATGGAACCTGCATGTACACTGGCCATTGAAAAGACAGTGAATATAACCCTAACAACAATTGAAAAGCGGATCTTGCAAACTGCATCTTTCAAGCATACAGAAATAAAAATTTGGACAGGCAACAAATGTTTCCTGCGAAGAATTCATACCTAATACAGAAATGTCTGGCTATACTATAATATATTTATACAAACAGATAGAAGTGTAGTGACATCATAATTAACAAAACACACGTACTTTAAGCACAAAGAAGTGTACTTAATGTTTAGTTCGAGTAGGTAATGAAACAGAGAAGCATATCAAAATCACGTTGTTCGTGCATGAAAAATTTTACACAATCTAATAAGAAGGGTTCTATTTAAACACTAGCATTTTCTTCTGAAGCATCTCTATTTATTATCCTTGTTTTAGCCTGATCTCTTACTGGTCAAATGCTCAGCCCATCAAGGCCTCTACTAGAAGCGAAAGAAAACCCGGAATAGTGCTCTATCACCTAAATGATCTTCCTGAAGGTCATTTGACACTAATTAAGAATTTCGTCATTTCTTTTTGAGTAATACTATCTGTAATCATATTTTACAGATTGATGTATCAAAAAAAAAAAAAAAAGGAAAAAGAAAAAATTTCAGTGGCTCCTTTTTTTTGGCTGGATCTTTTTCTACTGCTTCAAACTTTAATAAATGTTACAGCAAATAAACCCTAAAGCTATTGTTGGAGACAGAGAATTGAATACAGCGATTGGAATGGAAAAAATTTCCTATTTCTTTTAGCGTATTCTTGGAATGAGAATTATAAGATTCCAATTCTATGCCCCCAAATCCTAATACAGCCAAAAATTAAAATAAATTCAAAATTCACACGTAAATTAAACGTCCATAAACAGCAATTCGAGACAACAAGCACACATATATAAAATTGACATATGCATACATTATTTTCATAATATATACAAGAATTGCAGAGTAAAGAACCGTACCAGTTGATAACCTCCATTTCCATAAGCTGCTGATCAAATCAATCAAGCCTCAGCAAAAAGAAAAAGAAGAAGAAGAAGAAGAAAGACTGCCCCCACCTCCTCCGAAATTCCTAGCAACTTCTTGGATATGTCCAAAAAAATAAAAAAGATGACTGAAAAGAAGGAACGGGTAGATTATGAGAATTCAGAGAGGCCAACGCGACGCTCTCCAAATCCCACCTATCCATCCATTTTCACAGTTCTCAAGCATCGGAAAGTTTTTTTTTTTAATTTTTTTTTCCTTCCTTTTTTTGTTGCAAGAAACTCAGACGCTTAGCCCTCTTGTTTCTATTTTCCCCCAGTTAACTTCGTTTTCAGTGTCTCGTGCTGTTGGGAGGCTAAGCCAATGGGATATAAACGGTTCTATATTCTATATTCACAGGTATATACTGTAGAATCTCTCTACTGCTTTTTGTTTTCTCTTCTCCTCGTTCGTTCGTGTGTTACATGTCAATTGTTTTATATAATTACAATTTACAAATCTCAAAGTGCTATTTTATAAAACAAAAAATGGTTAAATTACAATAATCGAAATACTATTATTTCAATTTTATTTATTCCATTATCTTTCTTTTTCTTTTAGTCAATTCTCAAATGTCATGATTAGGATATTGCATTTTAATTGAAATCAAAATCATTATCTGAACATATCAAGAAACATGTACGGTCTAATGAGACTACTATGAAATAATCGAACTGAAGGTTCCACTCCGATTCCAAAAGAAATCAGGAATCGGTGGAGATTGAATCAATTCTTGAATTGAAACGATGAGTATCCGACTCTGAATTCACATTTATTTTATCATGAGTTATTTATTTTTTATAATGTATTCATCTTGACCAAGTGAACTGATCCAAAAATAGCAAGTTTGTAAAATCCAAGAAGTAAGGACCATAATAAATCAGATGCATTTCATTTGAATAATTGAATCATATCACTTTCATTCATAATCACTTCAGATCGTACTTTATACGTTGCCCGCCCTCACAAACCATTCTTGAGGCACCACACGAAGAGCCATCAACGGATTGAATGCTACTATTCTAGATACTGTATGCTATTTGGTGGCATATTTGCAATAAATTAAGAAAGTGTTGAAATATTTACTTAGTGACAATTTATTTCTTTTACTTTCGTTATATACTGTGAGGATAATTTGTATTATCAACTCACATTTTTTTAAATAAAAATATTGTGGGTAGAATCAAATCGAACCAAAATCGACGGTTTGGGTTTGATTCCAATAATTACATGGAATCTTATTGGTTTCAATTACGAAATACTCGAAGTGTATTGTGTGGTTGTAGTATTGAAATACTCACATCGATCCACTTGACGCCCTATGTAGAACCCCAAATAATTTTAAACACCTTAGTGACACTAAGACATGAATATTGGATGGCTAAAGTATACTTCAGATTTTTAGTCTCATTTGAAACCCATTAAAGACATAGAAAACATTCGATTTGAAAAATAATATCTAAAAAAAAATTGTAGCTCTTTGAGTTAGCTTTCCAATGCAATTTGAATTACCTCAATCGGATATCAGGAGAAGAAGTTATGATAGAAATACTAAAAACTGTACAGTATCAACCGAAGTACGCGAAATATGAAAAGTTAAATTCCTACACGATTTTATAGCACCTTCTTAAACCCATAACTCCCACATAAATGGCACCCGTATTAATGAGTATTAGACCCTTCACTTGCCCTTAAGTTGTGAGATTTTTTCCTATAAATAGGTCACCATGCATACACATTTTTCACACCAACACAAAAGCTTCTAAGCATAAAACAGAGAGTTTTCAAGTCTAAAAAAAAAAAAAAGGAGAGGGAGAAAAATTAGTTTTTCCTAGAAGTTTTGGTGCTATCAAGAAGTGTTTTCCAAGCATCAATTCTCAACGGAGTGTTTTTTTTAAATATCAAAGGAGTGAATTTTTCAACAAGATTTAAAGCATCAATCAAGGTAGGTAGAGGTGCAAAGTGTTAATTCATGTTAAGTTATAAGTTTCTAGAAAATGAAGATTTATGTTAATGTTTGCATGTCTAATGATACCTCCGGTACGGCATCCACCTCCATATCTAATGGTACCTCCGGGTACGGCATGTACTTTCGGTCGAGGCGTCGTGTTAAGTTATGACTCTACATGTTTGAGATTCTACCGAAAATCTTACTATGAAAAGGTTTTTAAAGTTACAGTTTTGAAATATATAGTTTGATCACGAATGTACCAATGATATCTATTGAGTTTTTTTAACTGACGGGTTTAACCCCTTCTCTACAGATTGATATGATTCTACCTTGAATTTGGATGATGGAAAAGATGAAGAGTGATGCAACGAGCCCATGGAAAACTCGGTGAACAAGTTATTTAGATTTATTTTTGTGAACGTTTTCAATGTTATTTTTTTAAAGTATTTGAATAACGCTGAACGCGAGAACAAGTTGTGTTTTCTTCAAATAAATTACGTTCCGTCTTTTTTTTATTCAATATTTTATTTAAAATATTCAAAACGTTGCTGTTAAAATTATCATTGTAAAAATTAAGTTTCCGCTAAAACATATTCTCTTATGACTAAACTACCGGTTAGTTAAGTAAAGTAAGTAGCGTTCCGGTCCACAAGAGGTCAGGGCGTTACACCCTAACCTAATCTTGAATGTTACTTAGGGTCCGTTTGATTATAAAAATGAAATTTTGGTGGAAAGAAAACGAATTTTAAGAAGTTGAATTGTTTAAAACTTATTTTACTGGGAATTGTCAATTAAATATATTTGATTAGTATAATTTTTCAATGAAAAATGTTGAAATATTGGATCTTTTGGTGTTCGTTTAACTTTGTTTTTCTTGAAAATTGTTCATTAAAGGGATAAATTTTTTTACAATTGTGCATAAAATTTGTTCCAAAAATTTAAAAAAAAATTAAAACAAAAAGGAAGAAGCTAGAAATCATTTTCTCACCGTTTCTTTAAAAAGCCAAAAAACGGGGTCACGTGGGAGGAGAAATGGAAAATCAATTCCATGGAATTTGGGTGCCATCAAGCACATAATTTTGGATGAAATTTCCATGGAAAAAGGAGGTTATCAAATAGGGACCGTTGAAATATTATTATCTATCTAAATATCGAATTAATCACAACAGGCCCCACCACATGCCCACATATCACGGGGACAAATATTTACACTTCAACCGTTTAGAATTTTGAGTTCATAGACGATTAATTATTATGATGAACTTAAATATAAATTATTCCATTATTTATCACCACATTTTAAATAAATTGTTCCACATTATAATTGTACGCACGTAGATACACACACAAAATAGATAGATGTCTCTATGTGTGTATGGGTGAGTACTGGCAGGAAGAAGGGCACGACCGATACTGGTGGCATGGGATTGCAAAAAATGACATGAATTGTAAAGAGGCTGTATCTTATTCAATCGTCATAAAACCTCAAATTTGTCTAAATAAATATATAAGAAAAAGTTGTCCAGAAATGAACCTTTCCAATTTTGTATGTTTAATCTCAGTAGAAAATAAACATTTCCTCATATCACAAAATTGAAAATCAAAAGAAAAAGTGGAAAAAAAAAAAATCAAAATGGATTTCTTGGCTCACTTGGGTTTGTAGGGTGTCTTCATTTCTTGCTTTGGTTTCTTACCATTACTTCCGTTAAATCAGTCGTCATTTTTTACTTCTTCTCTCACATGTGAAATCACTTTTCTCCCTAACAATAAAAAAATCAATTCTCATAATTACTACCGAACAAATCATAAGTCTTACTCCCAACTTTTTTCATTTTTTTCTTGAGGCTACTGGTCCTACAATTTTGAAGTCCTAGGCCATTGCCTTGATGGCTTCAATCTAGGGCCTGCTTGGCGTGTCGGTTGAAAAAATGCTTTGATCGTTGAAGTTCCTCTAAGTAATGAACTATGCACAATCCAATCACTAGACCGAAAATATGATTGAAGGCATCGACCCACATAGGGATGGCAACGGTTCGGTTTCGATTCAGTTCAGATAAAATCATCACCGAACCGTCAAAATTTTTACCATACCATAATCGCACCATAACCACGTAAATTGATTCGGTTCCGCTAAGTTCGGTTCGGTTAATAACCACGAAAATAAATTATTTTTTATAGGTCTATCCGTCAAATTGATATAAAATAATTTATGAAAAGAGAGTCAATGAAAACAAAAATACAATATTTCAAACGAAAATGCAAACATTATCCCAAATTCCAATTGCAAAATACAAATTTAACAAACAATATTATGAATATAACAATACTAAATTTTTCCTTCATTCTTGATTTTTGTGCATTGTAGTTACTTGATTTATGCTCAATAATTCAAAAGTTTCAACCTTAACTCATATTCATTTTTCATTCTTCCCACAACTCTTACTAGCAGTGGTTAACACTCAAAATTAATTCTTATATAGTAAATAAGAAATATAAGTAGAGAATACAACGATACTACATAATCCAGAATAGTTTTAACTAAGATTTAAATAAAAAATGTACCTCTTCGTCAACTTCCTCCTCACTAAACCTTGTCATCTCTAATAAAAGAATGGTTTTTTAAGAGGGTAATCGGTTCGGTTTCGATTCGACAGCATAAATATCATACCCACACCGTCACAAATCGGTTCATTAAAATCAAATATCATGTCCACCCCATTGCACCATCGGTTCGATTTTTTTTACCTCATTTGATTCGGTTAATTGCGATTTTTTATTTTAACGGTTCAAATTGTCATCCCTAAATTCACAATAATATATAAGGGCTAAAGAATAGCCTAAGAATAGTTTGGGATATGGACAACTTTTGTACATAAATCACATATTATTTTAAAAATAATAAATTAATATTACTGATGAATTTATTTAACAACAATTAGTCAAGAATGAATTTTTGGTACAAGACAGGATGGAAATACATTACCATAAGAATAATGTAGAATAGAACACGTGTCACGAAAATCCGGGCATATTGTGCATAATTTGTTTTGTCATTATTAAGAAGGTTAATGAATATTTTGTTGGCTCAGTGGGTGGGGAAAAGCAATTGATTGATTGGATTACTTTTGTCACGAGTCAACTCATCAAATGGGTTGGGTCATTCATTTTTGGGATTCACGTGTTGCTTCTTGTCAAGTATACTTATTTGTGGTAAATTGGATTATTTACTTTGTACTTATAGGCCCCGTTTGTTTCGTATTCTTTGATCACAAAGATGAAAAAATATGACTGTTATCCATCACATCAAGCCACTAAATTTGACTTCCTCTTCCTTGTATTGATCTCGTGACGACTATATTTTTCATTCTCATTCTTATAAGAATGAAAATCAAACGAGGGCATAATTTGTTTGTTCAAACCAAATACATACTCGGGTTTTT